CTTCAGTTGATAAATATCGGGACTACTCCACAATGAAGAAGTCGAATACGGCAGTTGGTGAAAATCGGGATAACTCCACAATAGGGGAATCGGGATTTCTCCACAATAAGGTAGTCGGTTACGGTAGTCGGTTAAAAATCGGGTTTACTCCACAATTAGGGAATCAGGATTTCTCCACAATAAGGAAGTCGGTTACGATGGTTGGTTAAAAATCGGGATTACTCCACAATTAGGTAATCGGGATTTCTCCACAATAAGGAAATTGGATACGGTAGCGGATAACGGAAAACTGGTATCACTGAGTGTTACTTACCACAATACTTCGGTCGGTACACACTGGAGCTCGAATCTAGGCTGCTGGCGGAGGCTGCTGCTGCTCGGACTCCGGGTACCGCGTTGTACCCAGCTAGGTTTGAATGCCTTGGTTCGGCTTATGGTCTGGGGGGGATCGGTCGCGATCGGAGACAAGCGCCGTACTCTCGGTACCATGGTTATTTTTGCTCGTTTATTCGTGTGGGAAAATTCGTAACAATTTCCCGATGTTTTCGCGATAGTTGCGCGGATTTTTCACTGTGTAAGTAGGATGGCGTGATTTTTATGTTTCTAAAATGAAAAAGAACGGAGCGATTGGTTGAAAAACAAGAAAGTTACCCTTACGTTTTAGAAAATTATGTAACTTCGTTGCAATACTGCGCTCAATAGTTTTCCCAAATCTCCTCTTTTTTCACGTTTGGATTTGTTTGTTTGTAGTCCGTTCTGTATCGAGAGTGCCCCTGTCTATTCGTGGATGTCCCATGTGCTCAATGCACAGTCCTGGTTGAGGATGGATAATGTATCGAATATTGATTTGCTTTGGAACCTTGGAGCATCACAACGAATAGAATGGCAATCAATACCTTTTTCCAGTGCTGTCTTGGGCATCGTTTGTTATTGTTAGGTTACAGGTTACAGTTGTTAAGCAATATTCATTAATTGGTGTGTTATTATCAAATCTCCATAAGATTCTCTGATACTTCAGGTCATCAGTGTGAATCTTTATCTGCCTGTACATTTTTTCAATGTCAGCTGTTATCACTACTTTATGTGACCTCCAGCGTAGCAGCATTTCTGACAGTTCTGGTTGTAGTCTGGGACCTGCATACATGGTATTGTTGAGGCTCAATCCTGATGAAATTTCACTGGAAGCATCAAAGACCACCCTCAACTTCGTTGTAGTGCTTTGAATACCGGTTGATGTGGGGTAATATATTGATGCTGTACCTAGTTCTGTATGTGGAAGCATTTTCATGTGACAAAGGTTTAGATATTCTTGCATAAATTCCTTATAAGCGATTTCCAATTCTTTGTTACTGCTCATTCTTTTCTCTAACTGAACCAGTCCTGCGACGGCTCCTAATAGACTCTCTTTTCCATTGAATGGAATTCTTGCTGTGTATGTTCATCTGTATTTTTTGTATATAGTGGTGGCTTTGTAATGTTGTTTGCAAAATTGACCATCTTCTGATAACGGATGTGTTTGTGAGACCTCTTCAACTTCCTAAAATTGAGTTAACTGTCTATCTTCTTCAATACATGTTATCATGCTGACAACTTGTAGTTTGTTTCTCGAATTTTTTGGTAGGTTTCCGGAAACAATCCATCCTAATTCTGTTTGTTGGCCAAGGAGATCATCTTCAGTTTTTCGTATGACTTCCAAGATCAACTGGGCATATTCTCGGGCCCCGAGAAGTATATATCTACTGGACCAGGTTTATAGAATGTTGGATCAGCAAAGACGTCGTTCTTCCATTGTAATATGTCTACGTCAATGTCTACTCCAGGAAGAGTTCGTGTTAGTGTAAGTAGAACGATTCCGAGAACATATCAAGTTTGAATTTGCTGGAAAATCTCGGCTTAATTAGTAGCTGTAACTGGGATTTTGACACTTGTGGTTCTCCTGTGTCAAGCTCCGTAATTTTTGCTTGAATTTTCTGTCTGGACAGGGCGAGTATACTTGCAGCCTCTTCGGCTATGTATGAATGCTGATTAGGAACCAGGGTCGATGAGAACTCTCAAATTTTCATAACTTCCATAAGCATTTCTAACTTTAATGAGTGCTGTTGTCAGAAATACCATCTCATCTTGTCGGCTGATATGGCTTGTTATTGTTTCGGTTCTTTGATCATTTCTGATTGCTGATTTTCTGGACTGTTGTGGTCTAAACGAATCGACAAGTATGTATGATGCTGCGGTTATTGCAAATACGGCATTTCATTTGGATTTGTAGTCATGGTTCAAACAGTTTAAACATAGTTTTTTTTTTGGCAGCTTTTAGCCGAAGTTCTGATGATAAGGCTTTGAATTTTGGGCAATGGTAAATCATGTGGGCTTCATTGCAGTACTTGCAAGCATCAGTACTTCTGGTTTTGTCATTATTGTTTGAGTTGGGGCAAATTTTCTTCTGTGTATCTGAAATTGCTTCTAATGATTGGAATCTTGCTTGAAGAAAGAACCCTGCCCAAAGTATACGGAAATTGTGTTTATGTCAGAATTGGTTGAATTTTGTAAATAATATAAATCACATCTTTCTGATTAAAAGTTACTATTGCATCAATCCTGAAAAATTATTCCTTTTTGAGAAAATTAATTTCATAGATAGCAAATAAAACGCTTGGACATTGTAATGGAGGTTCAATGTAGCACGATTAGGTGTAGAATAGGCAAGCTTGTGGCAAAATGGTGTGCTACCTGGAGTCATTTTTCAGGATTGGTGCAATGGTAACTTTTAATCAGACAAGCGTGATCTACATTATATACAAACTTCAGCCAATTCTGACATAAACACAATTTCCGTATACTTTGGGCAGGGTCCTTTCCTTATTTCAACAATTACAATGGGCTTGCTTAGCGATTATTCATAAAGCTTGTTGGTTTCATGATCCCATTTTCGGCAGATGATGCGACTGATAATAGGAACCCAATTGGAAGTATCGATACTTAAATTATTAATGGCTTCAAGACATTCCACAACTGTATCGTGTAGCTGTTTAATCTTGAATGATGATTCGTGATTAATCACTGGAAGATCTAGGATCCTATCTAGTAGTTTGGAGACTATAAGTCTGTTGTTGCTGTATCTGTCCTTGAGAATATTTTAAGCAGGGCCATAGTTGGTTTCTGCTATAAACAGGTGCTGGATCAGTCTTTGAGCTTCTCCTCTCACATGCATTTTAAGATACTACATTTTCTCTATTGTCGTAATTGTGGGATTTTCATGAACCACTTTGATGAAAATGTCTCGAAATGTGACCCACTCTCGTCGGCCTTCAAAAATTGGTAGTTGGATTTGAGGTAGGTAATGTTATATTGCATTGTTTTACAACTTGTTCTACTCCTTGAATCTTGTCCTGGAGGTTTTGTACTGTTTTTTCATACCGCTTTCCAAGGTCTTAGGTCGTTTGATAGTATTGTCAATTCCTTGAACCTGAAGCTCGATGTATATTTCAGAAATAACGTCCGATATTGCTTGGATAGCTTCTGTAATAGAAACTGGTAACGGTTGCGAGACTGCTCACTGATGAGGTCGTTCGAGATGTGTCTCTTAAGGTTTGACTCATTTGGTTCATTCGGACCTCTTCTTCTTTCAAACGATTTTTCGGTGCCTGATACTGGTCTGGATCGTAATATGAGGCTCCTTGTACCAGTGGTTTGGTTGCCTGACGAAGGTTTTGTTTGGAATCGGTAATGATTTTGTGATTTCTTGGAATAATTCGTGTAGTTGACGAAAATAATCGGTGTCTAAACGTTAACCCCGAAGGGCGCGAGTGTATGTATGTACGTTAAAGAATAGGAATGAAGGGAGGACTGTTGGGAAGGGCTGGTTTTCAACCTTTATCTTTTTTTTGCTCGAAGGACTAATGTGAATTCCTGATATTGGAATTAAGGAGGATGCTCAGAACACTTGGTAGTTTGTTGTTTATGGTTTGTAGGTTAGGCTAGTACACCCGGGAACTTGAGTCTAGCCATCACATGTAGAGCAACTACGATTGTAGCCGAAAGCCGAGCCGAGCGCATTGAGATCTGTGGCATTGAGTTCGAAGAAAGGTGTATATTCGGTAATGTAATACACTGCTCAAAAAAAAAGTTGATATTTATTAAGAACTCGTTAAATCGGAAATCAAGAGGAACACAACAACAAATCTGCAAAATGAATGCGGTATTTTCTTCTCTTTCAGGACGTTGAAGATTAGATGCGGATTTTTGCATTTTTTGTTTTTGTTGAAATACATTTTCTCTGTGGAGTAATTGGTATTTTTTTTCGCTCATTTGTAAGTAAGCGGAGTAGCTCATTTTGTTTTCGTTTCAAAGTGGTCAATACTGGGTTTATAGGCAATAATGTCTGTTCAACCACCCTATATAACTTTCCACATTATTAACGTTCATTAAGATGGAATCCAATTTCTTTTGCAGATTTTTTCTGGATCATCTGAAATATTTGAACGCGATACGCCGGCTGATACCTCTGTCCTCTCTACAAATATTAAAAAATAGGACAAAAATAAACTAAAGTCACCCGGGAAGGTTAGTAACTGGGGAGTAAGAACCACTGTTGGATTAATACTGATTTTTATTAAACAATTAACAACTATTTATATACAAAAATTGCAACTTTAACAAACGTCATGAACAATGGTAATTAATTAAAAAGAATAAATCGCTGACAAAATCTATTGTGTGCTCCACATCGAAAGATTTGGTAATTAAAATTCTGATGACGCTGCGTCTGGTATAGATCATAGTTTTGCTTATGTTCCCTGGTGACCCACTGGTGGTGCGTTGGTGTCGATGACCTAGGAGTACCTGCGGATGCTAATAATTAATTAATTTTTGTAATAAATTTGATATACATAATTTAATTGTGAATTTAGAACTCAAAAACAAAGTCAATCAATCAAATCAAAACGACCATTTCAAGTTATTTAAACCCCAAGAATCATGAAACTATTTTTTTTTTCTTTTAGATGCTTTGCAGCAAGGTGCGTCACAATTCGAACAACAGGCGGGCAAATTGAAAAGGAAATTTTGGTTACAGAATTTAAAGGTAAATATTTTGCGTTTAAATTGATCACATGCAAATTCTAAAAATGATTTCTTATGCAGATGATGATCATAATGGGCGTAATTGGTCTGGTAATCTTAATCATCATTATCAGTAAGTACCATGTCTTAATATTATAAATACAATGTGGCCCGTAGTAGCTATGTATATACCATACACGATGAGTATATAAACACTATTATATTTTATTCCCCTACAACATAATATACAGAACACATTTGACTTTCTATAAAGCGCTGTAATGACATTGAAATTTTTTTTCTCTATAGTGAACTTCATGTAACTGTCATTCGCGCGCCCGGGTCCGATATTCGGTAAATCAAATTTATATTTGTGTTAATTTGTGTTTTAATTACTAAAACAAGGGTAGTCAAATGTATATTGAAAACTTATATTTTTGATATACCCTTGTAGAGTGCTTATTATAATCTCTGTCTGTCTTTCTGTCCGTAGAACATCTTTTTTCTAATATCTCGTATTATCACCCTATATAGTATATAATTTTTTACTATTTTAGTCACCCCCTCTCTCGGTATAGTACAGATATTTTAAATAATTTGGGGGCTTGAAAATAAAAATCCCCATTCATTTTAAATTGATAACATCTTTGAAACAATTCATTAAAACACAGTTTTATAAATATTTGTACTACATTATTTTATTTGATTCTTCTGCATGTTGCCGACAGTTTTTTTTTGTATATTTAGATGGGGTTTTAGGATAAAAGTATTATTCACAAGGTAAAATCGGATTAGAATTGTATAAAATACTTTTAACTCTAATAACTGAGAGCCTCAACTTGTATGATAAAATTTCTCTAAATTAGATGCATGACATTATTAGTCGTATCAACATAAGAAAATTTAAATTATAGATGTGTGCTTGAATAGGGCATGGGCATGCGTTCTGTGATACCAAAAATTTAAGATGTTGAAAAAAACGTAACTAAAACTATTTTCGGTTTTTTTCTTTTCCAGTTTGAATTGGCAAAAAAAGAACGGTCAACCATTATTATAAATATTAAACATGCACATACACAAGTATCATCTTTTAAATAGCATTTATTTATTATTTGAAAATCAATAACTGATTATTTGAATTAGAGTGTGCTGTGCTGGAGGATATTTTGGCCCATTAATTTTGAAAACATACATTGAAAATACAAACATCGAATGAAAAATTGACGTGCCAAAATATTCTAATAAAAACAAGTAGGAAAACACTAGATGGTTAAACAAGGACTGTATGTAATTCATTGTTAATATCTTTTAATAAAATTGTAAAAAAAAAAACATAAAAAGTAAAATGTTTACAATAATCGGTTGCGCAAGTTACGGATTCTCAAAATATTCTTTTATGGTTACTCTAGTCAACATAACAAGTTTTGACTTTACCAAGAAGTATCAAGGCCAAAATAAACTTGCAATAGTCCGCAACTTGTGGAACCGGAGACAAATTCTGAAAACAAATAGTAATTTCAATGGGTTCATCATTTGAAAATTATACATTTTGTTTCAAAATGCATAGAAAGCTTGTTGCTGACTTTAGAGAACGTATTAGACTTTTTTAAAGAAATTAATCTATAAATTAGACCTATAATTTCATTTAAATAACAATAATTTGAGGTTCTCGACCATCAATATAAACACTGAAAAACTTCCACAATGATTTTATTTGGCCCAAAAAGTATATTTTAAGTTTTTGTTTGAATGCCTAACTTTACAAGCAGTGGGATCTGAATGGAAATATCATGTTGATTAAACTTACTCTTAGAGCCATTCACAACTTGAATTTGAAATATATTTATTGGACCAATTTCAATGTTGTGATAAAAAACAACATAAAGATCATAAATCAAAATACATCTCACTATGGCAACTTGCTACTAAAATCAACGCTACTAATAATTAAATTCCAAAAAATATTCGTAGGTAATACCATAAGAGCTCAGATTTAGCCGGATATTTTTTGGCTTGGTCTCGAATACTTACTTTCAGGAAATTTAACGAGAGCGACAAAATCACGAGAGCGCAGCTCGAGTGATTTTGTGGAACAGATCGAGATAAATTGCCTGAAAGTAAGTATGAGAGGGCAAGCAAAAAAATATCCTGCTCAAAATCTGAGCTCGAATGGTATTTAGTACGGTTATACAACTCACTGTACATTATTCCCATATGACACGAGAGGCTTAATAAGTGATAAGCCTTTTGGGATTATCGCGCTTGGTGGCAATATTGTCAATTTGTCATTAATGATTATAAAGATTGATAAAGTATTGAAGTTTAGTTCGTTGTATAACCTTTTGAATACCACTCGATGTTTCAGGATTACCTAATACTTTTACCTGACACTCAACGCGTTACCAGCAACACCACTCCTCCTTCGGAGTCGTGGTGTTGCTGCGTAACGCGTTTCGTGACAGGTAAAAGTATTATCCGGTAATCCTGAAACCTCTTGTGGTATTACATTCGACAATTCCACGAATGCATAATCAAAATAAAATATGGAAATACTTTTTAAAATGAACAGTTATTGAAGGTACAATTAGAATACATTTTTGCCCCTTAGAATTTGACTCTACAGAAAGAGAAAAAGACTCTCTTTGTGTTCTCAGGAATTGAATTTTCTATTTCGCTATCAATTATTTCATCATTAATTGTCCCAAATCGGTGCATGTTGAAAATATTTCCAATTTTATTTAAAAATACACTTTTAATAAGCTAAAATGATCGAATTTGTGACACAATTATTTGACAGATGATTCAAAAACCAATTTAATATGCAATTGTTACTACGGTAACGATTGCATCAACAGAAAATTTATCCGATTTTTTTATCCAGTTATATTTTCTCTTCCTTCCTATTTATTCGCTAGCAAACTACGGTTTTTGACATTTCAAATGGGATTATTTATACATGAGTGGAATTGCCGCTAATTATGTTCTTGGACTTATGATAATTAATACAATTTCATTCAAAGTTCTAAATATATTTTATCTATAACCAAAGCCACAACTGTAATGTAATAATTATAATGAATTATGACCTAGTGCAATATTAACATTAGTGTTAGGGCCGGTCTATTTACTTTCTGATAAACTGTCAGGTATGCAATCTGACGGATAAAAACGAAATTGAAATTTGCACTAATCGAGCTTTTATAAATGGCATGTCTTTATAGTCTTCGTTGAAGCTATAAATTCCTGTAAAAGGCGTTTAATCATTCAAAACTTACTTTCCAAGAACAAATTGAAGCAAATAATCAATAAATTCTGCTTCAAACCTCAGAGGTTCTTCTTAAGTAGCAGTTTTTCTTGGTCTCTGGAAGTTGGAATTTGCTTAAAAAAGTTAAAAGCAATAATTATGAGTCTTCAGAGTTTCAAGAGGCAGAAATCATCAAAAACTACTCCCTTCCAAAGTCTGTGTCCTTCGAAGCTATAAATTCCTATGAAACTCTTTCACCTCCCTGAATTATTCAAAATGCAATTTCTATAGTCAATATAAAGCAATAAATATTTATTCATTTTTCATTCTAATTAAGCCACCCCAAACATCTTCCAATGTAGAAAACAGGCATTAGGGATTTATTCGAATGCCCTTTAGATTGAAAAATGCCCACGCAACATTCCATCGAGTAATGGATGACGTGTTATCCAGGTTGCAACTGAAATTCGTGTTTCAAATCTTACTTTTGAACCAAATTTTAATCATTATTGGCTTTTTTTTGTGTTTGGAAGGTTTGGTTGTGTCAGCAGAAATAATGTTTAATATTTTTTCTTTTTCTTAAATATTTTGGTAGGACTTTTATATGGAATTTTGTAGAATGCTGATTTGTGTTAATTTATATGGAAATTTTTATCAAAAATCCATCCAAAAACCAAAGTGGAGAAAATTGTTCGCCATCCCTGTAAAATTATCTAGCAGATAGAGCTACCAGCAAGTTTATCTGAAGATTAATAAGCCGGACCCAAAATAGACATTTTAATAAATTTAAAAAAAAAACTCTGGAAGAAGATTCATCCATATAATATGGCCAAATAATGCATCAGCTGTAGATAAATTATTGCAGAATTATATTATGGTTGAAGCATATACCTTCCCAAAATACAAACAAAATGTGTATCATCCATGATTAAATTACGAATTCATACATAAACAAACCTATCGTTGTATTATTTTTTTTTATAAATGAAATTTCTATTAAATGGTTATAAAGCGTCACCAAACGTAGTGAAATGCTTTTTCTTGAATAATAATTATTTTTATAACCATATAATAATAATTGTGTAAAAAAACTGTTTTTCTATTGTTTAGTTATAGTTGATATAAGATAATAAAAAAACATATTTGTTCTTATGTGTCCTAGTCAATAATAATGTATAAAATATAATACATAATATAATTAAGTGTAGTATTTTTAATTTTAAAAATAATTAAAGAAGCTGATAGAAGACAACCTCTATTAATACGTGAAGATGCAAAAAGGTAATTTTTATAAATAATTATAGGTAACTCAAAAAACATTTTTTCAGCATGACTTTACATTTTACATTATTTTGAAGGTTTGAAAAAACGTTGTTTCTTTAAACCTCCCTCAACACATTTTCATTTCTTGCTGCTTGAACTCATTTACATTTCAAATGCATTTTATCACATCTATAAACTTGCATAAACTTTTAATTTTAAGCTAGAATATATACCTACACAGAAAGACAGACAGAGCTACACTTTTAAACTTCAAACTTAATTATTAATCTATCAATTAATAAATATTATTGATTATTGAAATTTTAATAGGAATATTATTTTTTTGGAACATATATTCAGTAAAAAATCTTTTAGGAACAATAATTGGTTGTTCTACATTCTAGGAAAGAATAAAAACACTCTTGTGTATGTCATACCTAAGTAAATTATGAACTAAATCGTAGACGACAGGCAATTTTAGACTATATAAAGGGAACAATTAATTATCTCAATTATTATTGCCCAATTGTTATTTAATTATCATAACTATTATTGTTTTTATTAAAATTGTGGTTCAAGCCCACATATGCAATCTACAACAATTTATCCAAAGACCATTTAAATCATGGTTCACCAGAATACTACTTTTCACACGTTTCTAACCGATAATTTTCCAGTGAAATTCATGCCAGAAGAGAAAGCTCCAGCCTATCCGCCGCCGGGATATTTACCCCCACAATTACCAGCAGCTCCTGCAGTGGAACCGGCAGCAGTAGATGACAAGGTTCCTTCAGGCAAATCTTAAATATCTTGTTATTTTTTGTGTAACATTGGGTTGTTTTACATTCAGGAGACAATTTGTTTCTATTACATAACCAAAAGTTCAGTGTTATCTAGCTAAGATTATTTAATATTTTTCAAAAAAAAAAAACCCAACTAACAGTGATATTTTCAAACAATATTCTAGAGAGTTATTCACTAATTGAGCTTTTATTCAAATTTATTTATTAATCTAGAGTTTACAATGCAGTAAGTAAAAAAAAATAGTATGAAATAATATTTATCTTGTGCATATTGTGTTATTTTAGAACAACTTTAATCATAAAATAATTGAAGGCGAATGTTTCTCTATAGGCTATGACATTAAAATCATTTCATCGAAAAATAAATAATTAAAATTTAAATGCTAACAATACTAGTTATGTTATTTTATATGAGAAAATAGAAATGATATTTTTCCCATGCCTAATAAAGGTTTGAGAGTTAGCTAAAATATTTCCCTGTTAGAATTTGATTTTTTCGCCTATAAGTTTTATGGTGATTGTAGGTACCTAATTATGTTATATACTTTTCAATGTTAGATAGTAATTATCAGTAATGTATACAGTTTATGTGTATAATTTAAATACTTTAAAAAATAAATTATTATGAAATCGCATCAAATTACATTTTTCAATATTTTACTCGGAATCAGAAGCATCCAAGTTTTGGAAGCCATTGTATAGCAGTTCGCCCAAGTACACTATTAATTATTTAGGTGGTAAATGGCCAGCGGTTTTATTGATGTATATGGTTGATAGCTACAAATAAAATTGTGATATTTGCAGATGAGAGAAACAACTGCATTAAGATTTTCACAAAAATACCTATACTTGTGAGACCCCAAATTCAGAAACTTGGCAAGATGTTAAATTGGAGAACGGTGACTTTAGTTCCTGCGTGGAGACGCAGTTTAAAATGGGTCCTATTTGTGGGTGGAGGGTAAAACACAGAAATATTGTGGTCAATTAAAATACAGTTTATTTTATTAAAATAAATAATGCTTGTTATTAAATAACAGGCGTCGGTAATAAATAATCTTACAATAAAATTGTTAGATTTCTAATAAGCATCAATTAACTGTTAAGAAATTATATGATTCCAAGTAAAAAATTTTATTTACAGTTTGACTCGATTCACACTCTTGCTTTCACAATTTCTGGCTGAACATAAAAAAACTCTACTTACATTTAGCAATAATATATTTACTGCTGGCCACACCTAATTACATGGAAAACTTATTGGTGGAAGGAATTTACTTCAATGTCTTTAATTATGAACAATTAATAAAAAACTCGAATATTTTCGAGCTGCACCGTTATTTCACATCGTGCTTCTCCTCTCGGTTAATTCGACAACTCTTTCACGCCGTAGTTCTGACTTTCTGGACACAGGTCTCTCGATTCTCGATTATTACTTGTTTCTTGATTACTCAACCGACACTGGTCCTTCACGCCGTAGTTCTGCCGGTTTACTCGCTCTTTCTCGAACACTGATTTTCTCCTGCCAAAGTTGCCTTTTTATATCATTAGTCCCTCCATTGTCTTGAATTTCTTTATTTTTTCTGACCTCGATTTTTCGTGGTTGAATCATCCTATCAATTAGTGTATTTGGTCCCCTTTTAATTAATTATCAAGGGCGTCGCTAAGTGGTTTGTTAAGTGGGTATCATCATATATGCTCGTGCATGATTTATTGATCCTTTTAGAAATTTTTCGGCTCCTTCGGAATGTTAATTGTTGAAAGCACTTAAAAAAAAAGGTCCATGAACTTTTGCTTTATTCACATTCGAATGTATTAGTCAATATAGGGTATCGGCTTTCAATAATTTCTGGATATCGATGTTCAGATAATATTTAATTGAAGTTTCTGGTTGTGCTGTCTAAGTGATGATCTCTCCTGGGATGGTTGTTTGGTAAAGTCTGTTTTTTTTTTAAAGATAATTCCCTAAGTCAAAAATTTAGTAACTATGTTGGCAACACCAGCCTTTTCTACATAAAAAATTTGAAAGCATTGACAATTTTACATTGTATTGCCAACATAATGTCATTTTGAGTTTTATCTTAAAAAAAACAGATTTTAAGTCCTTGTTATTCTTGATTAATTTTCGGTAGTTGGATCCTAGGTCTTTAGTTGTTTAGAATAATCAGAACATTAATTGTTTTCTTGGTGGTTTATTTCCGCGTCACTACATACTTTTTGTTAGAAGCCCTAATTGTTTTTATATTTTTTGATATATACCACCAGACTTTTGTGATGATGTTATGGGGATGACAATGATCACAGGGTTTAATCTGCGACTGTGATTATTATTGAAAGATTAAAAAGTTGTCACATTGTTCTTTGTAAAATAATAGATATATATTTATTTTATTAGGAGTATAAGTAACACTTATGTGACGCGCATGGAAGTTTGAATGAATCAAATTCATGCAAGTCACATGAAGAATACTTATACTCCGAATGAAATACAATATTTTATTTTCAAAGGATTTTTATTCCAAAAAGTGTACAATTTTTAATTTAAATTATGACATTCATATTCAAAGGATCACCTTTATAAGCACCTATACTTGTAAGTACAGGTGAACTACCTGAAATCGCTATGAGAAAATATGTAAAATCTGTTTTTTTTTTTAAGATAAAAGTCAAAATGACATTATGTTGGCAATACAATGTAAAATTGTCAATGCTTTCAAATTTTATATGTAGAAAAGGCTTGTGTTGCCAACATAAAATCTGTTTTTTTTTTAAGATAAAAGTCAGAATGACAATGTTGGCAATACAATGTAAAATTGTCAATGCTTTCAAATTTTATATGTAGAAAAGGCTTGTGTTGCCAACATAAAATCTGTTTTTTTTTTAAGATAAAAGTCAGAATGACAATGTTGGCAATACAATGTAAAATTGCCAATGCTTTCAAATTTTTTATGTAGAAAAGGCTTGTGTTGCCAACATAGTTACTAAATTTTTGACTTGGGGAATTATCTTTAAAAAAAAAACAGACTTTAGTTACTAAATTTTTGACTTGGGGAATTATCTTTAAATAAAAAACAAACTTTATAACGGCGTATAAATTTCCGCCGAAGTATAACATTTATACGCCGCTCAAGCGGAAAGTCATTGAAATGACTCTTATACCTTGTCAAAAGGATCACAAAAACACCTGTTATACGACTTTCGGACATAAAACTATTTTTGGAACTTGTATCGGCTCTTGCTGCAAAGGTATAGCTATACTTGATAGAGTTGGACTCTGAGGATAAAAGGCATTATCAGTTTTAACATTTGGCGACCGTGACAGGACGCCTCTATTGCAAGTATGGAGAAAACCAAGAAAGTCCTAGAACTACATCAGACAGCTTTTACAAGGATCTGTGATAAAGTAGAAGATGAAATGTCAAAGAAAGGTACAATTTAAGTGAAGTACATATTAGTATTAGAGTTTTGGGCGATAAAATGCTTCAGTTGGACCAATTGAATCAACCTATGTTGGACTTGATGTTAAACTCGGTTCACAAGGAAGCAAGTATGAATTGTGAAGTAGAATGGGCTCTTTCACTAATTTTTGAAATTGGCATATTTGGATAAAGCAACTAAAAACAGAATTTTCGGTATTTTTACTTTTAAAAAATTCATGGTCCTTCTTGAGAAAACAGAAAAAAAAAGAAATACCTCCAAATAAAAACCCAGAATTTATTTCTATGACGTCGCAGCTCGCAATTTGACCGTGTTGCCACTAAATTGTCAACATTGAAAATTTGTAATAGATTTAATTCTGAAATGTTCGCAAAATATCATGAAAAGTAGTTAAATTAATTAGTTATTGGATTGAAAATTTTATAACTTTTTTATTGAAATTATGCTTAAACACAATTTAATACAATTTTTTATGTTTAGTTTTATTTATTTATTTTACGTTGCACTACATTTAGTCAGCACCGACATCAGCGCATTCGAACCTTTACCTGCTTTTACTACAGGTTAACACAGCCGAGGCGGTCAGCTCCTTAGAACAACAGGCGAAATGAAAAATATTTATGTGACGTCAGCAAGTCGGCGCGTTTCAAATCATTTTGAATTGTGGAACATTTTTTTTTTTGGTATATATGCCTAAAATAGTCCCTCCTTTGGGATTTTATACTTAAATTACGTATTTAAATTTCAGTGAAAGAGCCCATTCATAGATGATTTGAACTTTAGATACCACAAAATCAAATTTAACTTTGATAGGATGTCAAGCAAGATACAAGCTCTCAGAAATAATAAAATTGAATTCAGGCAGTTTGGAGTAGACATCAAGAGTTGGCTTAGTTTTTGGAACAAATTTAGTCCAATTGATGAAGATTCTGATACGAGCTTGGCACCGAAGTCTAGTTTAAAGAAGTGTCTTCAAACTTTAATGAATTTTCTTAGACAAGAAGTGGTGAATGAAGACAGAATTTCTCTTGCTGTATCCAGTTTTGAAGATAAGCCTGAATATAAACACATAAGTAGTAATACCTACTGTCCCAACAGCGTCTGAATTGCTTAATACAGGAACCCTACGACGTGTTTTTTGCAAAGGATTACATTTTCCTGGCCAATGTGAAGAAGCCTTGAAACTCACTTTTGCCGAACGAAAACAAAAGTTGTCAGATGCTGCTTGTTGTCATTCCTGTACACAAACACTCATTCCGAAACCAGTGAACAAAATCTCAGTAGCCGCACCTTTCCCGAAGTTTTTCTGCAAACCATGGTTGTTGAATTGAAAGGAGAGAGAGAATCACGTAGACTGAGACTTTTCATCGATACTGGTTCACGTTCACACAAGTCATATAACAAAAAAGTTGACTGAAGAAGTAGGCTACAAACCGATTAGAGAAGAATAGCTAGTTCACTCACTGTTCGGAGGAAGTCAAACCGAAACTGTAAATCACAAGGTTCGCCTGTATAGTCTTACTGAAAATTACTGTAGTAATTTTGAAGTTTTGGATCAGCCACTGATTTGTTACTATGTTAGTTCCGTTATAAAAAGACCCTGGTTAGGTCAACTAAAAGAAATTGGGATCGAGATAACAGATACTATGAATGGACCTATCGATTATTGGTAGGCGCTGATGTAGCTGAAAAGCTATTTTCGAGTGCGGATTGGTCGCAGTTCATACATTACTAGGTTGGACGCTTATAGGTAAACTGAAGCCAACTTACGAAACGAAAACATCGTTACTTCTCACTTCTTTGTTTTCCAAAGATTTTGATCTACAAAACTTATGGAATTTAGATGTTCTTGGAATTCAAGACCCTGTAAAAAACAAATCGCAAAAGGAACAAGAAGCATTGGTCATGGAACATTATCTGTCAACCGTGAAGCAAAATAGTTATTTTTGTATCAAGTGCGCGAAATGCTACTTTGGTGATCGAGATCTGATTTTTTTAACGAGGCGTAGCCGAGTTAAAAAAATAGTCGAGGTATCCCTTTAGCAATTTCTTGAGAGTGGTCGTATTTTCGAATATTCTCGCATACGAAATTTGATTCGATTTCGAATACCTAAACCTACTCCCCATTTAATTTACATTGCTGTCAATCAAATTTCGTATACGAAATGTATTCGAATGAATTCGAAAATACGACCCCTGGAATCTTCTTCAGATTAACTATTTCGACTTCCCTTGAGAATTTCTTATGTTTTTTAGTTTGGAGCAATTCTTGCCTTTCATTAACATTTTTTGATAGTTCTCCATGATCTCTAGTATATTTTGGCAGATCAGTTATAGCAGGATAGTTCTCGACTTCGCTTTCTGCTGGAAAGGCAATGAAACGAATTCTACTTTCAAGCAAGACGAAATTTTGGAAACTTAGTTCCTCCTTTAGCAGCGTTTTTGGCTATTTAGGATTTTTTTTGTTTCAATTGATTAGCTTCAAGTACATCCTCAGCTTCTTAACTACTGTAGGTTTAACTTCAATAAGTTCTAAATTTTGCTACTACTAATGGAAGAGCTACCATATCATTTAGTTTAATTTCAGCTCTACTTTCACGATGTTTATTATCTTCAAAAATGGTTATTGTTATGCCAGTTTCTTCAAAAGTTTTATTCTAGTTCTCTTTCAGATATTTCTTCGGGATATTCTTAGACCTCGGTTTTTTCGCCTTCTTCTTCTAGGTAAGTACAGTTACAATTTCAGTACCTAGTATGAAAAAAAAAAACAAAAATCCTGAGAAAGAATCAACAGCACAAAAATTTAGGTTTTACCGGTTTTATTGGAAATAAAAGAATCCTCTAATCTTAGTAAAGTTTATTTGGAACAGTTGAAAAATCTCTCTCAGACCTTGCTTTTAATATTTTTCCCTTGCCTAATTTATGGGTTCATTTTCAGGTACCTCGCGATGTTATAAGACTGGCGATTTTTTAGACATTTATTAGGTACCTATTTCAATTTTGAACCTATAAAAATTTATAATCCTATTGGTAGGCCAGTTATCCGCCGACCAATAGAATTATATATCAGTAAATTTATCATGTAGAGTTACCAGCAAGTTTATCTGAAGATGAATAAACCAGACCTTAGAGTGAAGTAATATCAATCTTGATATCAGCATCAAGACAATTTAGAAAGTAAATGCGTATTTAAATTGGATGAATGGAAAATTTCATAACACTTTATTTCCCTCTTTTCTTCTGGGGAAAAACTGCCTTTTTGAAAAAAGTGTTGCTTCATTAGGTAGGTACACGTGATTTTTTATGCCACCATCTTTATATATAAAAATGAATGTTTGTTTATTTGTCCCTTATACACTCCTACACCACTTATTCGATTACGATGAAACTTTGGTAGGTTGTTGTGGCCATCCCCAGGTAGATTTCTGGATAGGTTACTCATCCTTACAAGGATGCGTGCAACACATGCAAATCCAGGGATTCCTGATGGATTGGCGAATGCTTGAGTTATTATTCCTATAACCATTTCGCGATAATCATTGTACAGCTATTTTACAATCTAATATGAATCAATGTTTGTTTGTTCGTTTTTTATGGACTCGGAAACCGCTGTACCGATCTCCTTGAAATTTATACCACGTAGTCTCTATATAAATAGGAGTGGTAAAAGCTACTTTTTATAGGTTTTTATCCAGCAAAAAAAATGCTCAATTCCTGTGGGATAGATCGGAAGCGTAAAGCTTGAGTTAGTTTGAAACAATTGTTTTCGGGGGGCGTAGCAACGCATGTAGGGTACAGTTAGTTTGAAATGAATCATGTAGGATTGAACAAAAAAACTAGAAATGAAACACCTCATCTTTTTATTACCCTATTTTTCCTATACAACCCATGTTCATATTGCAACTTGGACCAAATACCTTTACACATTTTAACTAGTCTACTATCTACCACAGTTTGATTTCTGGCAAGCTGAAACTCCGTTCGAACAATCCTTGAAGCCAAACGGTATTTCTTTTTTTGAATTAAGCTCAAACTTAAATACAGACGACATCTGGATTGTATATTGGGATCATCTATTAATAAAAAAAAAAGGGTAAATACATATTATATGGAAGTTGTTGGATTCAACTAACCAATTCTCATAGCTAATTTTAGTTGGTGAAAAGAAATTTTTCCTGCAGTTTCTGCACAATTCTCAAAATAATCGCCTAGAGCTGAAAAGGCACCGCCTAAAGTTGATAGCCAACTAAGTGCATGGTCCACTTCACACCTTTCTCTTACTAATTCATTTAATCTATCATTCCTACAAAATATTTTTTTGCAGTTATTAATGCTACACTTTCTGTATTTATAAACGCAAAAAGACCTTTTATATTACGCATGCATCATAATCAACGATTATCGCACTCTGCAGCGTGCATAAAATGATGTTTATGATGCGCCTACCTTTTCAAAGGTTTGCTATAGAAACGTTTGATCTACCTTCATTACCTAGATATTCACCTGCCGTTTAAATTACTATTCATCAAAATGAATGAACACATTTAAAACATTTTTGAGATTATGATGCATTTGTAATATAAAATAGCGTATGATATGCGTGTATAAGAGGCCTTTAAAGCCCTTGCGACTTACAAAACACTCCGCTGCGCGTCGTGTTTTGAAATATGTCGCGCGTGCTTTAAAGGCCCTCTTATACACTTATATCATAATATACTATTACTTACCAATTGTAATCTATTAAATTCTTTTTAGTAGGAACTAACATTAACAAATCAGGTCCTTTCCAATTCAAAAGGTTTTCTATAACACAGTTCCGATAAAAATAACTTAAACTGAGCTCTCTAACAAAATAATGTACAAATGCACAATCGATTTTTAATGATTTGAATGGTTTTTGATGGTGTTTCAGGCTAAATTTGTTTTGGTGCTCCAAGCAGTCTTCTTCGAGTATTATTTTATCGTATTTGTTCAATTCTGGAGTAATTATACAAAATATTGTTTTCATTTTTCAGATTAGGAGAAAAGTTTTTGTTGAATTAATTGCGATTTTTAGCGTGATTCTGTATAAAAACTAGTGCAAATTCATCATCAGATTTCAATTTGAGGTTTTAGAATGCTTAAAACACATTCATATATTTGCTTTACGATTTTTTACGCAAAAATCACATAGAAAATAACATTTTAATTTTCAAAAGAAAAACTAACCTACAAAAAAAACTAATCAAATGGAGTTGGGTGAAGTTAGCAAAATGAAATGTCATTCCAAAATAGGTATGTTCAAGAACACTATCTTAAGACTGTTCCAATATTACAATTTGGAGCATCCCGAGCAAGCTTCGAGGTGAAACTTTTCAGAGCACGCTTGGAGTCAGCTGACCTCAAGGCGCTCAAGCTTCACACGTTCCGCACTGACCGCACTTCGAGAGAATAAACTAACGCACCTAATGGCGAGTAAAAAGTAAAAACTATTTTGACAGTAACTGAAAGTTAACTTTGGGAATGACCTTAGAGCAGGTAAAGGTAAAGGAGTAGTAACCTGGATTTGGAAAATGAAGCCGTTTTTTTTCCAGGTATTTTGGCCCACAAAAAATGGCGGTTATGGCAATTCAATGCTTTACCTGTATTTTGGTGCCAAACACCTGCCAAAAACTTGGCTTCACTTTAGTTTCATAAGCAGAATGGCGCGTTCCTACTCCTTATGTCCGTAGGACAGCGCATTACCTCTCTAAGGGAATGACGTTACTTCTCGTGTAGTTCCAGAAGTTAACAATAGTTGTATTCCTTTCAGGAGTTTGGAACACTGGAGCTACTCGCTCCGGTGTTATTCGATCACGATTTTAAAGGGAGAGATGCGGGGTGCAACAATACCTGCCCTAAATCCCATTCAACACTATCAACATAGATAGATTCGGGTAATATATAAAAGCTATCCTAGAACAATTTATTTGACTTTTTCTTTCGTTAAAAAATAGATCCAGTGCAGTTCGAACCGACACTTTTGACCGACCGACTGTCAAAGGACTGTTGCACTGGATCGCAATTTGATTCCTTTCAATAGTTCCGAACAATTGAGCTACCCGCTCCAGTATGTCGTCCCCCGAATTGAAAGGAGCAGATGCGTGGTGCAACAAACACTTTTCGAAAGGAATAAGCGCGTAACGCCCCGGCCGGAGCTGTTCCGGAGCTCCTCCTAGATGTGAAAGAAATATTTATTTCGGTCTTCGGTCTCGGATTGACGGAAAAATTAGTCGAAACTTAAAGCAGGTAAAGCGCTGTCCTACGAATATAAGGAGTAGGAACGCGCGATTCGGCTATGAAACTAATAGCGTATTTCATTCGTAGAGCAAGTGCAACACTGGTACAATATTCGTGATCCATTGGTAGAGTCCGCGCTGCACTTTTGTAATTCATTGGGAAAGCAATGTACTGAGTTTTGAGTGCTTTTGGTGCGCCACCGGCAATAAGGCTCGTGTAGCACTCAGTGCAGTGGCACAGATCAACTACATACAAATGCGAAAGAGCGGTGAATTCGTTGTTCAAGGTCAAGGGTTGGAACACGCTCACGCGCTGTAATGTTCGGCCGCGTTAGCAGAAAGGGAGCCGATTGCCCTGATTTGAAATCAGTGATTTCGTAGTTTTGAATCGTCGACGGCAAGGATGGATACTTAGAAGCTTATTCTGTAACTCGTAACGACGTCGTTATTTAACGATTTTCGTTAGCTTACGACTTTTTCGATTCAGTAACTTTCGGTTGTCGTTATTGTAACGATAAAATGGACGCAAAAACGTCGTTAGATTACGACAGCCCAGTGGCCCTCGTTACAAGCATAACGATCGTTACAGTTACATACTCTGGTAGTGTCTGTACTATATTTTACTGACGATTTTGATTGATGATGGGTCCTGAATTAGTAGAAGCTGCTCTTTTTGATGAAGTTCGTAAACAGCAAGAGATTACTTTCATCAAATAGAAACTGGTTAATAATTTTTTTAAGGCAATAGCTGAGGTTGTTCCATAGACAAATGTACGCAATACCCTAGAATTCTCGGAGGAAGGTTTTTGTCAAATGTTTGTACTGGACGGCGAAGAAGACGATTCAACTACCAATTGTAAGGTTCTTCACTTGTTTGCTTTTCTTGGCACAAGGAAGTTAACAGAAACCATTTGGTCGATTTGCAGCATCATCACAAGCAATGTCGGCTGCTATATTCATGAGGTAGATACAAGTGCATCTACATTGTCTACATTTCCGTGAACGTGTATATTCGATTTCCTCAGAATCCTCAAGAAAAACCCCCTTTTACCAGATGGGTTAATTTTTTACAAAATTTTGCATTCCAGGAATAGCTGGTCGTGTCGTAGTCACATCAAAATTGTTACACCAACGCATTTTCAACTTGGTCACCCTGCTGTCCTCTTCATGAACAGAAAGATTTTTTTATAGCATCAATTGTCAGCCAATTTTTGATGTAAATTTGAAGATGCACCATATTCAAGTAGTGTGGAACGAAGTTGAAGTCGTTAGATCGATAACGACAACGCAATCTAAAGACTTTGTTACTGAATAGCTTTTTTAAAATTGTCGTTACCAAGTTGGTCGTTACGACAACGATATCGTTATGTAACGACAAGTTACAGAATAGGCCTCTAGTTTCTTCCGTCGGTTCCGCCTCATGAAACCAACAGTAATAGATCTTCTTAAAAGAGGTTGAAGTTGCCCTACTTTATAATAATAGGGTGGTAGCTTAGAGCAGAGGTGTTTTCTCGCGTCTCAAATGCTTCAAAACATTTTTCAAAACTGGCTCAAGTAATGTCACCATGACGTCATAATTTCTCGGCGCGAGAAAATGGTTTGAAAACGTGGATTGGATTGTATTTCGAAATGGTTTGAACCAATTTTGACGTGACGTCATGGATTTATCGCGAGAATGTACTATTTCAAAACAGTTTTGAACCAGTTTCAAAAATGTGGACGCGAGAAAACCCCCTCAGGTAAAGTGCTGTCCTACGGACATACATTGTAGGAACGCGCCATTCTGCTTGGAACAAAAGTGAAACCAAGTTTTTGGCAGGTGTTTGGCACCAAAATATTGATCAAAATACAGGTAAATCATTGCCTATACCAATGAACTATAGTCAAAAACTGGAATGCGTACACATTGCCATATCTGCCAAAAAAATGTAGCCATGAAAGACAGATGCCACAAAGGGGAATGTTGTTTTTTTCTGTTGCTCGCTGACATATGACGTTTTGGAAAGTTTTGTCATATTTACCTTCACAGGTTTCATCAATTGGAATACGTGTTGGAAGCAATTTCCGCCATTTAACATAATGAGTGCGACAAAACAGGTATCCCCTCTCTCCGCAGCAGCGGCACTAGGCTTCACATTCGTCAATATGTGTTCGCATTCCAGTTTTTGGTTATAGTTCATTGGCCTATACCAATGACCGCCATTTTTTTGGTGCCAAAATAAAGCCTAGTACTCATAACTGCGAAATTCGCTTTTTTTGACATTGCTTCGACAATTTGACGTTTGATACACGCATAAAACGTCAAATTGTCAAAGCAATGTCAAAAAACTGCGAATTTCGCAGTTATGACTTACCACTTGCTAGACTATACATATAGCATCCAACTGCTATGTTTGCTCGCTGGTCACGCTCTGTCCTTTGAACAAAATACCGAACGCAAGGATTTTGCAATTCTGTGGTTCAAACCTTCCATTTTCTCGCGTTCACAAGTGATGGCGTCATCTACAAATTGGTTCAAACTGTAGTTCGAACCATTCGCTGCGCGAGAAAACTCCTCAAGTTACCCATTACCAGAGCCGCTTTCCAGTGACAAATTTTAAGATGGTCCACACCCGGAGCTTTACACTCTGGTGCTCCAAGCAACTGTTGCGTCACTGGAACGCCGCTTACTTCAAACGTCGTGTTTTTGATGCACCCATAAAATCGTAGAGCATAAAATTGCAGGTGCTTGAGAGGGCAGAGGATAGGAAAAACGAACAGTTTAGTAGCGCTAAACTCCAATGCACTGGAAGGCCTATAAACAGTCCAAGGCGCTCTAGAGCAGCTCAGGAGTGCTTTTTAAAGTGCGTCACTGGGAAAGCGACTTCTGGGCTGCGTTCAGGATTGGCGACAGCCAAGCCAAAATTGGCATTTTGCGTTCGAGTTCGGCTCCAAACTACGTGGTTCAGCATTACCGGTGGAGGGAGAAACGTAGGTTTTGGCATTAGCATTGCCGTCCTTGAACGCACCCCGGGGCAACCTATAACCTATTACTTTAGGAACCATGGGTCTGATCCTGATCGTGCTATTCAAGAAAAAATTGTTACACAGAAGTATTTCGTTCCTATTCCAAGCTCTGAAATTTTCTGTAATTTAGAAGAAAACGTTTATACATGAGCGCATGGAAAAGAGAAAAATTGAGACGTGAAACTTAACTAGAGAAGGGATAAAACGAAAAAAAAAAGGTAGACAACATTCATGTTTTTTTTTTCTTGAATAATTTATGTCTATAAGTTCGAAAAAAAGGAGCACTACGAACAGTGCGATATGAAAAAGAAGTACAGACCCGCTTTCCAGCTGATGCTTTTGAGCACGCAATCGAACTTTTGCGCGCGCAAATCCTTCAAGCGCGTGCTCGTGTTCTAGCCGTACTGCACTTCGGGAGCTGCTAACTTTTTCGTTTCAAACACAGAACATTGTGCTGCACCGTGCTTGAAGCACACAGCTGGAATGCGGCTGTTGGCAACACAAGCCTTTTCTACATAAAAAAAATGAAAGCATTGACAATTTTACATGTATTGCCAACAAAATGTCATTTTGACTTTTATCTTTAGAAAAAAAACACACTGTAGTTGTATTCCTTTCAAGAGTTTGAAACACTCGAGCTACTCGCCTCGGTGTTTAGTCGCCCCCGATTTGCAGGGAACAAATGCGTGGTGCAACAAACACTTTTCGAAAGGAATAAGCGCGTGAAGCCCCGGAGCTGTTCCGGAGCTACTCATAGGTGTGAAAGGAATACAACTACTTATAAGCCGCTTTCCAGCTGACGCTTTTGATCACGCAATCGAGCTTTTGCGCGCGCAAATACTTCAAGCGCGTGTTCGTGTTCCAGCCGTACTGCGCTTCAAGAGCTTGCTAACTTTTGCGTTTCAAACACAGAACACTGTGCTGCACCGTGC